TTCTATTTAATAGCTCAATTCTCCGTTTAGATTAACTCAACCGTAGTTGTTATTTGCAAACGAAGATAGCACTCCCTTGCTATTAAAAAGATGAATAAAAACAATTTCTATTTGCCAAAACATTTTGATAGTGTTGTGATTTAATAAAGATAAAGTAACTAATATTGATAATAAAATAATTTTATGACCGGTCAAAATAATTGGGGATTAAGCGCGACACAGACGCATTATATTTATACTATTATTTAAGAGAAGATTTTTGTCAATGATTTTCGATAAAATAGTCCTATTGTATTAATATTTATACAATTATTAATAAAATAGTTATATTTTACATTTGCTTGACATAAAAGAAAGCTAATATAATAAAAGTAGAATAGTTGAATTTTGTGCTCATGACAGTCTGGTCCTCTTACACAATAACTATAGAGGTCTCTGTTTTGGGACAAAAAAACACCCATTTTACTAATTTTACTAGCCAACGGTCTAGCTTAGTGGAAAGGAATTTCATCGTGTTAACAGTGTATGCGAGAAAACTGCCCTCTCCCGATATCAGCTTTTATATAAAAAATATATATGGTGTTAATTGAGTTTCTTTTTTTGTTTGTTGAACAGATTCTTGAATGCTGGAATCTTTGGCAGCAGCACAGAATCTACCCACACATTGCCTCACACAGCAACAAGAGCAGCAATGCTTGTGAGGATCAACACACTCCTCCAAGGTTACTCAGGCATCAGATTTGAAATCTTGGAAGCCATAACCAAGTTCCTTAACAGCAACATCACCCCATGCCTTCCTCTGAGAGGAACAATCACTGCATCAGGGGACCTGGTTCCTCTCTCCTACATTGCTGGGCTTTTGATTGGCAGGCCCAACTCCAAGTCCACAGGGCCCAATGGAGAAACCCTTACTGCTGCTGATGCCTTCAAGTTGGCTGGGGTTGATGGTGGGTTCTTTGAGTTGCAGCCAAAAGAGGGTCTTGCATTGGTCAATGGCACTGCAGTTGGCTCTGGTTTGGCTTCTATGGTTCTCTTTGAGGCCAACACTCAGGCAGTTTTAGCAGAGGTCATGTCAGCAATTTTTGCTGAAGTTATGCAAGGGAAGCCTGAATTTACAGACCATTTGACACATAAATTGAAGCATCATCCAGGCCAAATTGAGGCTGCTGCCATAATGGAGCACATTTTGGCTGGAAGTGATTATGTAAAAGCAGCTCAAAAGGTGCACGACTTAGATCCTCTTCAGAAGCCTAAGCAAGACAGATATGCTCTTAGAACTTCTCCCCAATGGTTGGGCCCACAGATTGAAGTGATCAGAGCAGCAACCAAAATGATTGAGAGGGAGATCAACTCGGTGAATGATAACCCATTGATTGATGTCTCAAGGAACAAGGCTTTACATGGTGGAAATTTCCAAGGGACCCCAATTGGTGTTGCCATGGATAACACCAGATTAGCCATTGCTGCTATTGGCAAACTCATGTTTGCCCAATTCTCTGAGCTTGTCAATGACTTCTACAACAATGGGTTGCCTTCAAATCTCACAGGAAGCAGCAACCCAAGCTTGGATTATGGGCTCAAAGGTGCTGAAATTGCAATGGCATCTTACTGCTCAGAGCTCCAGTTCCTTGGCAACCCCGTCACCAACCATGTCCAAAGTGCAGAGCAACACAACCAAGATGTCAACTCCTTGGGGTTGATTTCTTCTAGAAAGACAGCTGAGGCTGTGGACATATTGAAGCTCATGTCATCCACATACTTAGTTGCATTGTGCCAAGCTGTTGATCTGAGACATTTGGAGGAGAACTTGAAGAGCACAGTGAAGAGCACTGTCAGTCAAGTGGCCAAGAGAGTCCTAACAGTGGGCTTCAATGGTGAGCTTCACCCCTCTAGGTTCTGTGAGAAAGACTTGCTCAAGGTGGTTGACCGAGAGTACGTTTTCGCTTATGTCGATGATCCCTGCAGTGCTACCTATCCATTGATGCAGAAACTGAGGCATGTTCTAGTTGAGCACGCATTGAACAATGGTGAGAAGGAAAAGAGTTCAAGCACTTCAATCTTCCAAAAGATTACAGCTTTTGAAGAGGAGCTTAAGACCCTCTTGCCCAAAGAAGTTGAAAGTGCCAGGCTTGATTATGATAATGGAAAATCAGCAACCCCAAACAGAATCAAAGATTGCAGGTCTTACCCACTATACAAATTTGTGAGAGAAGAGCTGGGAACTGCTTTGTTGACAGGTGACAAAGTAAGATCACCAGGTGAGGAAAGTGACAAGGTGTTCAATGCGATCTGTGCTGGAAAGTTCATTGATCCTCTGCTGGACTGCTTGAAGGAGTGGAATGGTGCTCCTCTTCCCATATCTTAGAGAGTGCTGGTTATCGCCTTACTACTGCAAATTACTTAATTTTCTTGTCAAAAATTTATGTTTTTTATCCCCTTTCATACAAGGCTGTATGGCCTTGAAACTGGAAAGTGTATGTTTTTTTTTCTTTTTCTTTCATTTTATTGCTTATATGTTGTCTACATTGTAGTCGATCTTCAGCAGATCAACAAATGTATTATAAACAAAAGTCACAAAAGGTGGCTTTATTTCTTTAAATCTCTTTCTCTTATCTCTAAGGATGTCTTTTTTTGCCCAACCTGTATGAAAGCTGAAAGCAAGGAAGCTGACCAACTGGTATTGGTAAATACATTGATCAAAATGATAGATTTTGTTAACTTGAAAAACATGTAAGGTCTCAACCAGCCGACCTGATTGATTTCCAGTTTTGTGGAATAAGAAATAGAGATATTTAGTGATATACCCATTCTTAGCACTAATATTATAGATAAACCCGACACCTTTGAATTTCTATAAACAAACCCAAAAAAAAACCCATAAAATGACAGCTGGCCTTATTGAATTTAATATTAATTATTAAATTACTTTAATGCCCTATTGAGTGTTTTGGGTATTTTTATGAGATTTTGGGGGTTGGACTTGTTTTAAGAAATTTATGGTAGTTTTGTAATTTATAAGAAGTTAAAGCCTCTTTGTTATGTTGTAAATGGGCTTTGGGTGTGTTTATAAAGTCTATTTCATATGGGGTATTTTTATAATTTATGCCCCCATATTGGGTATAATAGTGAATCTCCCTAAGAAATAATTACTTCCTACAAGTACTGTTTCTCTCTCTCTATTTTCTCTACCTCATTTTCTCAAAATTGTAATCGTTGTAGTTTAACTTCATTTAAACAGAATCCACAACACAAACTTTTGTTTAAAAAAAAATCACTTAAAAAGGTGAAACCCCTCATGGCATCGTGGTAGTGTGTATGAGAAATCTCCATTTCTGTAATTTAGACTATCGCTTGTATTTAAAAAAAATAAAAAAAGAAGGTGAAACTCTTACTTTTCGAGAGATGTACGTTCTCAATCAATAAAGTCCATTTGAATTGATGAGATGGGAATGAGAGATGCTACTCATTGCCCCTCTTAAGTGAGATATAAGATGTTACACCAACCCCCATTGTTGTTTAACTCCAATTGGAACCTTGTTTAATAAGTCAAGTTAGAACAGATATTTCTTTGTAAATGTCAAAAGCGTTACTATCATGTACTGAATCTTCAAAACTCTTGGTAGGTGAAGGTGAAGATAAAGGTAATTAATTACCAACCAAACGAAAACATAAAAAAGGTAGGGGGAGGAGGGGGCGTTGGGGGGTAGAAGCAGAAGGTCTCAATCAAGGTGGCCACAAATCAATAGCTTTAAAAGTAGGACTGGTGTTTGGTATATGTTCATATCATGTTTGCTTGTACCATGCAAAAGAATGTTTTTTTTAAAGGGAGATTCACTAATATACTCAATATAGAGGTCCAAATTATAAAAATACCCCATATGAAATGAACTTTATAAACACACCCAAAACCCATTTACAATATAACAAAGAGGCCTTAACTTCTTATAAATTACAAAACTACCATAAATTTCTTAAAACAAGCCAAACCTCAAAATCTCATAAAAATACTCAAAACACTCAATAGGGCATTAAAGTAATTTAATAATCAATATTATATTCAAAGTAAATTTAGCTTTTAGCCCAAAATTTTTTTTCACTTTTGGAAAAAGCCAAAGCTTTTTCAAAAAAGACAAAAAAACCTCTCAACTTTTAAATCAAAGACATGCAAATATAAAGGATTTCTTAGGAAATTCAAAAATAAATAAGGGCAATTTTGTCCATTTTGGCTTCTTTTACAAAATTTCTCTCTCTTTTGTGTTTTTCCAAAGTCTCCTTAAATTCAATAAGGTCAGCTGTCATTTTTGGGGTTTTTTTTTGGGTTTGTTTATAGAAATTCAATGATGGAGGGTTTATTTATAATATTAGTACTAAGAATGGGTATATCACTAAATATCTCTTTTTTTTATTGGTGAGTAAGCAATATAAGATTTACAATAAAGTTAACTTTTCTTTTTCTTGAAATATTATATGTTACATTTATAATTTTCTCTCTACCAAGAGCATATGGCTCGTCATCGTTACGACACAAATTTCACCTTTATATTCGTACGATATTTTATTTATTAACTTTAATTCAAATGACATTTATTACACTCTGATGAAAAATAGATCTACCCTCAGTTCTTCTTAAAAGGAATACAGTAAAAAATTGGCATATCGAATTTGGCTTATACACACACATATCACATATTTTATAATTATTTTAGCTCAAGTATTAAGATTAGATTTATGATTGTCCAAAAAAACCCCAAAGAAAAGAAAGAAAAAAATCACTACATTGTGACATAGTGGGTTGGTGACTGATTAAAAAATAAATTAAATCAAAAGAAAAATCAAAAGGAGCTCGGGGGTTGGTGATGTTGAGTGACATCTCTCCAAATCCCCACGTATGTTGCTTAGTATAAATACCTCGCAAACCCACACTCGCTTTGTGCTTGGCTGCTCGACCACTGTTTCTCTCTTTCTCAAAACACATTTCAGAACTCTCGCAAATTTCATCAATGGCGTACGAGCGGGTTCTCCTGGGGATGGGCAATCCTCTTCTCGACATTTCAGCTGTCGTTGACAATGAATTCTTGACAAAGTAAGCCCCCATTTTGGTATCTTACGTTTTTATATTCCCATACTCTGGTACTGTATGGTTGCTCAGAAAATGGAAGGAAAACTAATGATGTGCGATCTGTTATTAAGATTATCAATTTTCGTCCTGCTTAATTTGATGGGTTTTGCGTCCTTTGTCAATAACTTGTATTGGGCAAACTCGTGTAGATAGATCTGAAACTTTTTTGTTTTAAGAAACAGAGGATTATGATAAAGAAAATAGATCTGAAGGATTTATTGTTCTTTGTTTTGTTTTATGGGCTTAACCCAAAACCTCATTTTTTCCATTATGGTAGCAACCCAGATGAGCAATAGTTGAGTTATTGTGGCTGATATATATGTGACTGTTTTGGTTTGAATCTGATCTGATTAGATATAGTGCAACAAATTGTCCTTGTCACTGATGATTGGGATTGTGTCCTTTTAATAGAACTTCAATGGTTTTTCTTATTATTTATGAGCTTTGCTCATGCTCACTTAGTTAAAGTGGAAAAGGCCAATGTGGTTACTTGCTTGTTTGATTGTGTGATTTTTTGTATTCACGGTATATATGACTATGAAAAATCCATTTTTAATCCTCAATGAAAGTTTCTTTATTTCCTCTTTAATTACTTCCTTTGTTTATTCTTTGGCCAACTCTTCAATTACTTTTAAGTGTTATAGCCTCATGTTAGTTTTACTTCAAGCTTAATTTGTTGTTACACTGGACCTATAATCATAGATTAATGTTGTATTTAAATGCTTCTATATGCTGACTGTATTTTTGCTCTTTCTTTGATCTATGCATCATGCCGTATGGAGAACTAAGTTGACTTGTTTATTGACAGATATGACATCAAGCCGAACAATGCCATTCTTGCTGAGGACAAGCACCTGCCCATGTAATTTCAGTTCATTTTTGGTTCTCATCCTTACTTTCTTGTTTTCTTATTAAATCACCTTGGTTTAGAAAATGTTGCCTTTTATTTCCATAGCTTCCAGTCAGTAACTAAGACCAATTAACTTTCCCTGTTTGAACCCCATATCTTCTTATTGGCAAAAGGTGTTAGTTTTCTAATCTGCAAGCTCTATGTTTATAAGCTCCTCTTAGAGGTTCATTTAAACATAACATCATGATTGGTTTCTGGCGTTTGCAACTTCCTGGAATATTGCATTTGCTTATTCAATCTTTGTGGATGGTTTTTCACAGGTATGACGAAATGGCTTCCAAGTCCAATGTAGAGTATATTGCTGGAGGTAAGTTGATAAGTTGTTCTCTTTGATATTTGGTGATGCCATTTTTATGATCTTGTCTACAAACTTGCTTGATAATAATGCCTATTTTTCTATCCTTTGCAATCTGTTGACTAATGTACTATGTGTTTATTGTGCTCTCTTTAGGTGCGACTCAAAATTCAATTAGGGTTGCCCAGGTGTGTTTATGTATTTTTAAGAGAATTTTGTATTTTATTTAAGATCTGATTCAATCGTATTGTACTGATAACAAATCTCAATTTCTGTGTTATTTTGTTACAGTGGATGCTCCAAGTTCCTGATGCGACTAGTTACATTGGATCCATTGGGAAGGACAAATTTGGAGAAGAGATGAAGAAAAATAGTAAACTTGCTGGTGTTAATGTGAGTTTCTCTACATCTGCACCTACCCTGCTGATCCCTCAGCTATCAAATTATTTTGAGTCACAAAATATTTATTTACATTTGTAATCAGGTACAATACTATGAAGATGACAAGGCTCCAACAGGAACATGTGCTGTTTGTGTAGTTGGTGGTGAGAGGTCAGTTTTACATCTTTTGCCTATTAAAAAAACTGTTGCATGCTGATCTTCATAGCCATCTTCATGCTGATCCTCTTTTACTTTTATGACTGCTCTGTGTCATGCATTTAGATTTTACTCATGGTTCCCATCATGATCCTTTTATCAGTCATAGGTCATAGATTTTTGGAACAAAAGGCCCCTGCATAAAGTTTTCTATTTCTTTTTCTCCTCAACTAGTCCTATGGTTTATTAAAACTTTGCTGGGATTAATTTCCTGTTACAAATAATTGTACAGGTCCCTTGTTGCTAACTTATCAGCTGCAAATTGTTACAAATCTGAGCATTTGAAGCAACCAGAAAACTGGGCTCTGGGTATTACTTTGCTCTTTTGTTAATTCAAACCTCGCCTTTTTTATTAGTTTTGGTCATTTGTCCTCTCAGACTCATCTCTACATAAACTCATGCTTGAACAGTGGAAAAGGCAAAATATTTCTACATTGCTGGATTTTTCCTTACTGTGTCTCCTGAGTCCATCCAACTGGTTGCTGAACATGCAGCTGCAAACAATAAGGTAACAAAAATGTAGTTTTTCTTGGACTGAGTATGAACAATGTGGTTGGAGTCTTTCTCTTTTTGTTGTTAAATTCAATAGCTTCAGCAGCCTTCTCTTGCATGTGTAGGTATTCATGATGAATCTATCTGCTCCTTTCATTTGTGAGTTCTTCAAGGATGTGCAGGAGAAAGCCCTGCCGTAAGTCACTTCTGCCCTCAAACCCCAACCCCTTAAAATAAAAATAAAAAAGTAAAGAAAACAAGTTTCTTGGTGTTCATGATGTTCCTCAATGGAGAATACTGAATTTCCTTTTCATATAGGTACATGGACTATGTTTTTGGGAATGAGACAGAAGCAAGAACCTTTTCAAGGGTTCATGGCTGGGAGGTAACACTACTTGGTCTTGGGTATCTCAAATTTGACAGCATAACTTCTAATCTCTACCAGTCACTAATTTTAATGTCTTTTGCAATCAGACTGACAATGTCGAGGAGATCGCTATAAAGATTTCCCAGTTGCCCAAAGCATCAGGTGCTCACAAGAGGATTACTGTGATCACACAAGGTGCAGATCCTGTTGTGGTTGCTCAGGATGGGAAGGTGAAATTGTATCCTGTGATCTTGTTGCCTAAGGAGAAGCTGGTTGATACCAATGGAGCTGGTATGATATCTTACCCCTTAACTATAAGCAATTATCAATGTTTACCGGTGAAACACTTGAGTGGGAAATCAGGATTAGAGATGAAGAACAGAAGAGGTCATGTTCAATAATGATTAACAAAACCCATGATGTTTCTTGTGGCAGGGGATGCATTTGTTGGGGGATTCTTGTCTCAGCTGGTTCAAGAGAAGCCCATGGAAGACTGTGTTAGAGCTGGTTGTTATGCCGCAAATGTTGTCATCCAAAGGTCAGGCTGCACATACCCCGAAAAGCCTGATTTCCATTAGGCCCCATTTCTCAACAGTTCAGCTCCATGTAGTTCCATTTGTGGTAGAGTTGGATTTCATGCTGATGTAATTGTCAGAGCCGGCAGTGTTTATCTCCTAAACCCATTTATCTGGTATAGGAGTTTGTTTGTTTTGATGTTAATTTTGTTTGTGATCCTTGTCACATAAAGATGACATCGATGGCAATTTCTTTACAGTACGTATTTTCCATATTTATATCAAAAAAGCTGAACAAGTTATCGCAGTCTATTTTAGTAATTTTATTTTCGTGGTTTAATTTGAGTACACTGCATTCTCTTCAAACTTGGCTGATGCCCTCGGAACTTTTTCAATTACGAATGCAAGTTAGGAGAGATTCTTGGGTGTCACCGGTTGTATACACCCTTGAGTGAGAATTATTGCTACAATCTCATTCTGCTTGTATGGCTTCCCAAGATAATACTGTTGGGTCTGCGATCTGCGTGGCTATACCGTATATGTACGTAGGTACAAGTGTGACGAATGGTGGAAATTACATGTAAACCTTGCAATATTTTATCAAATTATCCATTTATCATCGATTCACATAACTAAGTCACTTAAATCAAGCACTCTTGAAAAATGAATAACTAAGTCACTTAAATCAAGCACTCTTGAAAAATGAAGAAAGCAAAGCGGCGATAAAATTACAATTCGTAAACTCATTTACAAGGTTAGATGGCTCCATCTGCTCAATTCTGGTTACAACTTACAATTAGCCTGGGAAGCACTAGGCTCCTTCAGCACTCTAATTGCAGATAAATGCTTTGACTTAAGGAGGCTCTGCTCATCTAAATTTGGAAATGAGGCATACAAAAGCATATGATCAGTTGGAATATTGGCCTAATAAAAGTTGCTTCACCATCAAGGAACTTAGAATTAGGGATCTTACTCACATTCAGCATCTACGAGATGGCTATGAATGCAAGTTTGAGATATTTATGAATAATTTCGGTAGCATTACGTAGAGTAGATTAGGCTATGGTGGAGTTTTTGCAATTAGAGAAAGAATGCCATTTCCCTACACAAAGTTACATCTCTATCATGCCAATCAAATCACAGTTGTCGCACTAAGTATGACTTGGAAAACTGAATGTTGTAGTCACAGAAGGAAGCTTGAATTTTATTTATTATTTAGAATATAGCTATAGCCTGATTGAACCTCCATATAATTTGATCATTGAACTAAAAATCGTGTAAAAATGTGTAGATATTTGGGCACTTGAATCACGGGTTTATAGAGAATTTTTGTTTAGATAGTTATTCTTGTGAAGGTACACAATGTACAAATACAACACAAACTCAGCATCTGACTTTCTACCATATCTTATGTATCTTCCAAGGTCCAAGCATGTGTAATGAAACCTGTGGAACACGGCACCTCAATGATAATGAAGCCCCTGATCAGGTTCAGCACCGATGCAGCAAAGAACGCTGAGGAAAATGCATTCGTTGCAAGGAATGCAGAGCTTTGAGTTGGTGGAAAACTGGAACACTTCCTCAGCATGATCAAGCAATGCCTTGAACAAAGGGTGCCTGAGCAAGGCAACCCTGATGACATATCTTTTGCAATCTTCACCAACATACACCACCAAATGGCCTTTTGGGACATCTTTTGGGATGTAGTCCTCCTCATCAAAGCAGAACCACATGTATCTATTGCTAGTGTGCCCCCAGATTGCACTCTTTAGGACACTAGCGCCGGCTTTCCTGCATCTACGAAAGCATTGCTTGATGAGAAACTTGCTCTCTGTCGGCTTCATTGATGTTCATGACAACTAGACTGTGAGAGAGAGAGTGAAAGAGAGGGCACTGAGGATTGTATGGCAGCAAAGTTTAGCTTTATATAGCAGTATGTAAGTGAGAATTCCCAATGTAGATTAGCTACTGTTAGGGATATTGTAAAATATATAGATTATTTTGCCACAATTGTGTTGTGTGTGTGTGTGTGTGTGTGTGTGAGAGAGAGAGAGAGAGAGAGAGAGAGAGAGAGAGAGAGAGAGAGAGAGCAGTGGATTCTTATTACATTTTGGTGGGGTAGTAAATTAGATCATAGTTCACTTGCAATTACTGTTCTAATTATGGAAGTATATAGCTCATAATTAACCATCATTTTCATATTTTCCCTGTTAATGTACATCTCTCTGAACTAAATGAGAGGACTGAATCAAAAGTACAATAGAAAAAAAAAGGAGAAATTAGAAAAACCATTCCCAGAAATTTAGAAATGTACCAGCTAAGAATGATGCCATTCATTAGGTAAACCTAGTCTCAGTGTGTTTGTATTTATGGAACAATCTGTCTGTAATTTTTTTGGAACTTGAAATTTGAATGGAACATAAATAAATACACCAATGAAAAACTTGTTAAATAAACTTCAGAAGCAAATTTGTTTTCTTTTTGCTGCATTGTTTGAAGTTTTCTTGAGAATTGTATGTGGCCAATTGGTACAAGTCAATTTGAGCCATGGCCCATGAGCTATATAGCACACAGATTTCATTTAAAATAAGTTTTCCTGGTAAATTGGTATATATAACTGAAGAATGAGACCTCAACATGACACATCATTCAATTTCAAAAGCCAACAGATCTTCCCATTTGGCTCCACTCTGCACCCACAGAAAGAGAGAGAGAGAGAGTTCCCTGATTCTGCTGTTAGAGAGGTTAGAGGGTCAAATCTGGTTGTTTTGGACAAAATTTGAAGTTATAGCATAATATTATCCATGCATTATCTTTTTAGCCTTTGTTGGCAGAGTTTGGATTATTTTTCTTTTGTTAAAATGGAAAAGTGACAACATTAGTTGTTGAAGATGTTATCTTGTCTAACATTCCCCTTGCAACATGCATGTGTTTATGTTCAGGCTTTTGATATTCTATACAATTCAGCTCTTGCCCCATGTACATGGCAGCTTTATTTTTTTGGTCTTCAGATTTGTGTTTTTGGCAATTTCAATTTGTGAACAATAATGAAAGCAACCCATTTTCAATCCCCATCCCTCTCTTTGATTGAACCCAAAATTAGGAGAAATTTTTGTATGTTCCGAGAAGTCTAAAAACCTCACATTGATGGGAGCACATTCACCAATGGTTATGGCTCACAAAATCACTTCAAAATACTGAATTAGAGTGCTAGAAGCTAAACATAGAGTACTAAATTGTATGATTAGCCACTTTAACCTCTTTCTTGGGGTAAAAAACCAACTAAAATATATGGCTTTTATTGTATATTGCAATCCCAACCTCATATTTTTCATCACCATGTTTTGCTCCAAACCGCCTAAAACATGAGGCACACATCTTTCTTTCTTAAGTATGTCCAACTTCTCACCCCTTATAAAAACCTAACCCCATCAATATTTCTAATTTCATCTTCATTTTTCAAACACAATTCAATCAAAACCCTCAAAAAATTAAGAAAACACCAAAAAGGATCAATAATATGGCCAATAAAACTGCCATTCTCATTTGTGTGCTAGTTTTTGTGATTGGATGTAGCAGCATGCAAGGCAGTGAAGCAATCTCAGCATGCGCCAAGCCATGCATGCCAGTCTGCATGAAGGAGGAAGGGGCAAGCATTCCCATCTGTGAGATTGCCTGTGAGAACTATTGCAAACAGATCTCCGGCAACCGGAATTCGGAGTGGAATCGGTATCGCAACCTTTGATTGTTCATCAAGCAAGTTTCAGATTTAATTAAGTTCAAATTAAGTTGGTCTAAATAAATGATGTAACTACTGGAATTTTGCGAATATTATAAGGGTAGCTGAACAATATTCCATTGTAGTTTGTAAATAGAGATGCAATATTCTTTACCAAGCGTACTTTGTAATATTTTTTTACCAACAGTTTCTTTACTGTTATACACAACATTCCCCCAACAAAATAAAATGAGACTCGTAATTAGCTTGTAGAATGTCAAAATAACAAAAGTGCAATCACCAAACGAATCATCATCATCATTTTATTGAAAACTTTTTCATGTTGGTCCCCTCACTTTCCAAATATAGTACGTGAAATCTTTGATTTTGTTGAAAGTAGCTTTTGTTCTTTTCTAATTTCTATCTAAATGGTAATGCATTTTGATCGTGACATTGAAATAACCTTGCAATATGTAATTTCTCCACTGTGTCTTATTGTTAATGTCAAAACCCCCGCGGCTATTTTTCTCTCTCGCTCTTTATGTGATTAGTTATACTTATATGAACTTCATGAAGAGACATATATATATATACAGAGAGCTTCCATTGAGGGATCCCTCAAATAAGCTTATTTGAGGGACACCCCTTGTATGGCCCACTCCGGATTGTATTTCACTAATCCAAACCGTCTATTTTGTAGAGACACATTCAAAGATCATCTCTACAAAAAATCACTTGAATCTGATATCATTTGACCATTCAATTGAGTTATTGAAATTTTAGTATTTTCTTGAAGCACCGTGTTCATTGATTTTATAGAACACAATTGAATGTCGAAACGGTTTCCGATTTGTCTAATTTTTTGTAAGGATGATCTATGAATGAAGACCTAAAAAATCAATGGTTTGGATCATTGGAAAAAAAATTGTAGGGTACCCTAAAAGGCGTCCCTCAAATAAAATTATTTGAGGGATCCCTCAATAGAAAGGGACTGTATATATATATATATAAATATATAAAGGAATGTTACACTCGTAAGTGTTTCTCTAATCATATATGTATGTAACGACAGTTAAATGCCAAGTCTTTCTCCACTCCCAAAGTATATGGATAATTCCAATTACATCCTAATTAATCACTTCTTATCTAAATTTTCTCCACAATTCACTTTTTATTTTGATTTCCTTCATTTAATTTCAATTAAAATATTAATCATATCATACCCCTATATTGTTACACATAAATTATTAGCACACGTTATCTGTGATGCTCTAGTGATAACTTATCCCATATTTAAAAGAAAATATCTGACAAAAAATATATTTAAAAGAAAATAAAGGTTAACTTATATTCTTTTTTTTTGAGTTATAACTTATCTTGTTTTTGTGGGTCTGAAGGTATACTTATCTATTTGGTACCACCATTTCTATATGATATATTCAAGACCGTTATATGTTAAAATGCGCACATACGCGCAATGTAACCCAACCCCAAGTCGTACCGTCAGAAAACAACAGTGACTTCCTTCGTGCGCTGTGTCCCAGCCGCGCAAATTAGCGACCGCCCTTCGCCAAAACTCTATCCTGAGGCAGCTTCAAGATTGTCGCGCAAAACCTAGACAAAGCTCTCTCTTTCTGTGATTACACCACTTGGAACTGGGAGTGCTTCTGAAGGCTAATCAACCAGTCTCGTTGAATGTACAGGTTCTCAATTAGTCAATTTCTGAGCTTTATGTATGAATAATTGCTACAAACCCATGCCAATTTACCCAAATCTTGCACTTTTAGGGTTTCGTTACTGGGTTGGTCTTGTAACTTTATTGATTACATGATTAGAAGCCAATGTACCAAAAGCTTATATCTTTTAGGAGAATAATGTTGTGGATGTGAATCTTGGGAAAAATGGGTGATGTTGAGATACCCAATTGGCTGAAAGGGTTGCCATTGGCGCCCGAGTTTCGACCGACTCATACTGAATTTGCAGACCCAATTGCTTATATATCGAAAATTGAGAAGGAAGCTAGTGAATTTGGTATTTGCAAGATTATCCCACCGTTGCCAAAACCCTCGAAAAGATATGTTTTTAGCAACTTAAATAAGTCGCTTGCTAAGTGCCCAGAATTGGGTTCTGATGTAAATTTGTTGAATGATTGTTCTCCCCTGAAAACGGGTTCTGGGGATGGTCGTAATGATGGGGAGGCTAGGGCAGTCTTTACCACAAGGCACCAAGAATTGGGCCAGTGTGTGAAAAGAGTGAAAGGGGCAGCAGTTCAGAATCCGCCATCAGGTGTTCATAAGCAAGTGTGGCAAAGTGGGGAAATTTATACTTTGGAGCAGTTTGAATCTAAGTCTAGGGCTTTTGCAAGGAGCATTTTAGGTACAATTAAGGAGGTCTCTCCATTGCTTATAGAGGAAATGTTTTGGAAGGCAGCTTCTGAGAAGCCTATATATGTGGAGTATGCAAATGATGTGCCTGGGTCTGCTTTTGAAGAACCGGTTGGTCAATTCCGTTATACTAATAGGCGGAGGAGGAAGAGGAATTCTTACCATAGAAGTAGAGAAAACTCTGACAGTAAGACAAGTGACCTGATTAGCAGTTGTGAAAGAGACTCTCATAGTATTGAAGTTAAAAATGCTTCTCCTAAGAATGTTTCAGATACATGTTTAGAGGTATCCAAATCATCTACTGCTCCAGAAATCTTGTCAGCAGAAGAAACCTCCCAATCTTCTAGGCGAAAAAATCCAAATGCATGTTGTGATACAGAAGGTACTGCTGGTTGGAGGCTTTCAAACAGTCCTTGGAACTTACAAGTAATTGCACGCTCACCTGGTTCACTTACTCGTTTCATGCCTGATGATATCCCGGGTGTTACTTCTCCTATGGTTTACATTGGAATGTTGTTCAGTTGGTTTGCTTGGCACGTTGAAGATCATGAGCTTCACAGCATGAATTTTCTTCACACGGGATCTTCAAAGACTTGGTATGCTGTTCCAGGAGATTATGCATTTGATTTTGAGGAACTTATTCGCACTGAGGCATTTGGTGGTAATGTTGACCGCCTAGGTATGTGAAACTCTTCATTGCTGGTTCATTGGTTGTTTCATAAAAGCTTACAATTTAAGCAGATTGGAAGTCCAAAATATAGCATCTCCAAACAAATTTTAATTCAATTTTGTTATCTGTTCTGTTCTTATAGGATTGCCCATTCCATTCTGAAATTTATTGAGTGTTATTACTTCTATAGCCTTTTTCTAACTCAGGTCCAGTTTCTCTTATTGCCAGCTGCTCTCTCATTACTGGGTAATAAAACAACTTTAATTTCACCTGAGGTTGTTGTTGCATCGGGAATTCCTTGTTGCAGGTGGGTTTTTCTTTTCTCGTTCTTGTTACTTCTGTGGTCCATTATAATGTTAATTTAGTTTGTGGATTTCTTTTACATGTTAAATATTTTGGCTTTGATCCGTGAAGCGGAGTCTTTATTGGGTTCTACTTATGTCCATTCTGGTTTCTTCTTTAGGTTAATACAGAACCCTGGTGAGTTTGTTGTGACTTTTCCAAGGGCTTACCATGTAGGATTCAGCCACGGTAATTGTTTTATGTTTTTGCATGTAGTACTTAATTTTGGAGGAGGATATGATAATTGTAACATTTTGGCCTGAACTCTGTTCTGACTCTTGCTGATATGGCAATGTTATGACATACTTACATTATTTCTGACAATTGCATTAGTAATTTTTATATTCATTTGTTACTGACATTGTGATCCTTTGTAACATGCGACATGATGTTTCCCATTTTCATTTGCAAGTCATACTTTTTCATAAAGTTTCTCTTTATTCTATTTAAACATATCTTATTACCTATTTGGAATATAAGGTTTTAACTGTGGGGAAGCTGCCAACTTTGGAACACCACACTGGCTTGAAGTAGCTAAAGAAGCTGCAGTACGTAGAGCTGCTATGAATTATCTTCCTATGCTCTCCCATCAACAATTGCTATACCTCTTGACCATGTCTTTTGTTTCAAGGTCAGCCAACCATCTTTTTTGGATTATTTTGAGCGAAAGATAGTCTCATGGTTGTACATGCTGCTTCTGGAACTTGTTCGTTGATGATTCAGTTAATCATGATTGTGATAAAGTTGTTCTTTTGCATTTGCTCTTCTACGCCTTAGTTGGATAGATGATAGAACTGCATTATGACTTTGCTTGTTGTCTTGATAAAGTTGTCAAGTGGGGCACCTGATAGACATTGTTTCTCTTGTTTTGGCTTTGCATTTTTGTTATTATGCTAGAGTGCCAAGGTCCCTACTACCAGGTGTGCGGGGTTCACGTATGAGAGATCGGCAAAAGGAAGAAAGGGAGTTATCGGTAAAGAAGGCTTTTGTTGAAGATATGTTAAAGGAAAATAACGTTTTATCCGTCCTTCTTCGGAAAGAATCAAGTTACCACGCAGTATTATGGAACCCAGATTTACTTCCATATACAAGTAAAGAGCCCCTAACACCCAGTGCAGGTGCTCCTGTTGATATGAAGCCAAAAGAAAATGCTACCCATATTCAGTGTGGAAATAATAATAATGATCAGAACTTACTGTTTGATGAGATGAGTTTGTATACGGAAAATATGAATGATTTATATTTGGGTAGTGATGATCTGTCATGTGACTTTCAAGTCGACTCAGGGACATTGGCATGTGTGGCTTGTGGAATACTTGGGTTTCCATTTATGTCAGTAGTGCAACCATCTGAGAAAGCATCAATGAAACTTCAGCCTGAATATTTTTTGGCTCAAGAATTCCCTGGAGTTTCAGGACTTGAGAAATCTCATTTGTCTACAGGCCATCAAGCGCTTGTCAAGGGCTGTGTTACAGGTATTGGAATATGGATCCGCATCTCTTCCCTTGCCTCATATTTTTGGCCTTCTCAAATAACTTCCATTATCTATTCATTTTGCTAAAAGAAAAAAGAAAAAAGGAGAAGTCATATTTGGTCAATGGTAAGGCTTATCTTAAAAGTATGTGACCATG